ACTTCACCCCAGAAAAAATGGCTGCTATCATGAAATCAACCAATAACAAATGCTGGCAGTGCTGTGGGTAAAGAGGAACCCTGCTCCACTGCTGGTGGGAGTGTAAACTGGTGCAACCACTGTGGAAATCAGTATGGGGATACCTCAAAGAACTAGGACTGGAAGTTCCATTTGACCCATCTATTCCCCTGCTGGGGATCTTCCCAAAAGAATTAAATCATACCACAGTGATATATCTGCACCCATGTTCATAGCAGCACAGTTTGTGATAGCTAAAACTTGGAAGCAGTCTTGGAAGCAGTCTCAACTGGAGACTGGATTAAGAAAATGTGGTTTTTCTATAAAATGAAATACTACTCAGCCATAAAGAATGAGAAATTAGAGACATTTATAGCTAAATGGATGTACATTGAGGCAGTACTCTTAAGTGAAATAAATGGGACACGTGTAAATACCAAATAGTTTCTCTAGTGTGAGAAACTGAAAGTGTAAATAAGGACTAAAAGCTAAAATAGATAATGTGAAATAGTAAGAAAAGGGACAAAGGGAAAGTGGAAGGGGTAGGGAAAAGGGGTAGGGGAATGGAATTAATATGAGAAAATGAAAAAAATGGAAACAAAGTCTTTGTAAATAGGGATGGAGGAGTTGAAGGGAGGGCAGGGGAAGGGGGAAATAATAAGAACCAAGAGAGATTATGTAAATATGCAAATTTCCAATGATGAATGTCATTATATTGTATACCTAAAATGCACCAATAAAATTAATGATAAAAAAAGGAGAAAAAAGACTAAGTATTGTGATGCCAAGAAGAAATCTTTTGAAATTGGGTCTGAGCCTACAAAATAAAGCTTCATATTACTGATATTATGATTGATTCAATGAATATGGAGTACAAGAATAGAAAAATCGAAGTGCGTTGACTAGAAGAGAATGGCAAGGTTTGGGACCATGTCTGCATTCACAGTTCTTTGACCTTTCATTTGGTGAAGATCTTCCCATATAAAAGGGACTTCATTTTTTCCTATAACTCCTGAGAGTTTAAAGGTTCAGTTTAGTCCACCGCCACTCCCATCCTATCTTATATTTACTAGAGAAGACAGCATGGTCTGTGTTTTATTAATCCCTTGCCTGATAGGATTTCTATTCATTCTTACTAAATCTTGTTTTCAAGAAATTCAGTTTTTGAACATAATTATCACTCTAACTCTGAGATTATATATTTTTTATTCTAGAAGCAACATTTACTATGAATGTTCACATGCCTCTGTTTTTCTCAGTGCATATTTTTCAATTTAAAGTGGTTTTGGCAACTTAGTAAATTGTGGCTTTCAGTAGACTTATACAGATAAAAAGACTATCAGAATACTGATACGTGAATGTGCCTACTGCAATTAATTTGTTATAATCCAAGATTCAAAGAAAAAATATAAGATTCACAAAGTTAGACTTATAAAAGAAAACTTCCAGAATTGCTTCAAAAAGTGGCAAGAATGATGGAATAATTGTGTTCAAAGTGAGGGGAACTATTTTGAGGGGGATTAATGGCAATGTATCTTTTACTGTAATAACTTTTAAAAAGATTTAAACATTCATTGTATTTTTTTATCATGCCACTTATTTTACATTTCTTCCCATGTGGTTTTCAGGTTAAGGCAGAAATTGCTTAAGACTTTTTAGAAGACTACTTGTTTTTTTAATGTTGATATTAAAACTGCTTCTTTTTATATGTTAGTCATATTTCCATTACTCCCAATTTTTAATTCTCCACATATCCATGAGACTTAAAGTCTTTCTGGCTTTGTGAAGTTTATTTATAAAAATAGACCAAGTTTAATAATGGTTGTTCAATCTAATCTTATTCTGCTAAGGATAATTTTAAAGATCAAAAGATCAATTGATGTTTTGGGAGAGAACACGTAAACCAATGGGATAAGTTTTATACATATAGATAATTATGTTGTTTGTAAACTTTATATCTCTGTATATTTAAATAAAAAGTCAATATTTTATGCCCTCAATAAATTAAAGCAACTTGAATTCTGTCTCTAGCAACTTCAGCCAAGAAAATTCGCGGAAGTCTTTTAGATGAAAGCAACCACCTTATATTTAACGGTCTAGAATGAAAATTACATGACTAAAGCATGTGATCATTCCAAAACAGTACTGTGCAGCAGAAGGTAATGTGAGGGCTAGAGATGTAGCTCAGTACTTGCCACTGTGCGGGAGGTCCTGAGTTCCCTCCCCAGGACTGCAAAAACAAACAACTATGCACACCTTATGTATAAAATGTCAGCCGCATACATAGTTTTAAAGAAATAGTTAATTTTGATAATTTAACTCAATATATCTAAAATATTGTCATTTCAATATGTCAGCAATATAAAAAGATTGTTTTTCAATTTAAATTTCAATTAAAACTAAATTAAATAAAAACTCAGTTCTTAAGTGTCAGTTGCTCAGTAGCCACATGACTCTAGTTAGTAACTACTGTATTAGGACAAAGCTAAAGCATTCCTTTGAAAGATCACCTCAATGTTATTTATTTTTTAAAATTATTATTAAACCAAACTCAAGTATCCGAGAGCTTTTATAAGGACATAACATTATGTGTTACTTTCTTTTGAAAAAAGAAGGGATTTCTCTTTTCAGAAATCTGTATCCACAAAGAAATAGACTAATAATTTCACTAAGATATGCATTACCAGTTAACATTTATCTTTAATTTTCATTTATCTATAAGCAGAGAAGTAATAATATAAAGACACTGTACTATTTTTGGTAGCGAAGCATTTCTTGAAACAATTTAAAATCAATGTATAATAAATATAACAATATAATCTGTAATTGAAAATGTGAAAGGGCAGAATATTCATTTTTATTATAAAGAATGTACTAATATCCATAGCAGGGATAAATTAAGCTATGAGCACATCTGATACAGGTTTTTGACATATGCGAGTCAAAATGTTTCCTTTTAATATGACATTCTTCAACTTTTTGGCTCCTTTAAGACTTTACATTCGTTTTTATGTAAAAGTAAAGGTGTTCATTTTGGAGAATATGATGTAAAAAAAGTTCAAGAAACAAAAGCAATGCCTTTCATTTGTCATAATATTTATAACTCTTTGTGAGGTTTTGGCTGTGTCAGTTCATCATTTTCTTCCCTTCGGTTACCAACCAATTTTAAGCTTCATTTACTTCAGCTTCAATGTTTCACAAGAGCTTTTCCCAGAGAATAATGGAAAATACTTTTGAAAAGTGTTGTTGACTACATTGATTTTATTAATATGTGAGTTTAAACTGCTCCATTCAAATTTATAGAGTGAAAATATATTTAAAACTGCACTCAGTTTTAGGGTAAGCTTGAAGCTTTGGGATCCCAATCTGGTAAATTCACATGGAGTCACTTCTGAGGGTTGTGGTGATTTCTAGTCTACTCCTTGGTGATGGTCAGGGATGACTAGGGACACGGGCAGCCATAGGTCTTCTTGGAGAAAAACTGTACCTAAGTCAAAAGCTCAGAGGCATCTTTCATGGAGTAACTGTATAATACTTATCATTCTTTCTATTTCTAACATGAATATCTAGAGATTTCTGAGCTGCTCCAATTTTGGCCCAAGGAATAGAAGACTTTTCCTGCTTCCTTGGTACTAGATGACAATTATAATAGACACATAATTGTCCTTAGAATTATACTGTCACGTAACTCTATTGTGTAATTGGTCATTCAAAAAGTACAGGAAAATGGATAGATTATATAGTGGTTCACACTCAAGTACATAGTTGGGGAATGTTTTTGTTCAAGCTTCTGAATATATAATAGCAATCTAAATTTTTTTGAGCAGCCTAGATTAGGGAAAGTTGGCCACAAGTAAAAATTATTCTTATTTCACATACCAAACTTTACTAACATGCCTAAAAGCTATTTCCCACTTTATTAGTATACAAATACTCTCTCAAGGTATTTGTTTCACTTGATAACCACCCAAATAACTTATGGGAAGAAAAATACATTAAGTACCATTAAACTGTAAAGCTCGTTAGAGTATATCTGGAATAAGTAGGTACGTCTGACTGGAAGCAAAGAGAAAGTTTTAAAGAGGAGAAGGCATGCTATCTCAACCGCAGGAAGAAAACAGTTCAATTCAGCAAATATTTACTCAGTGATTACTTTATGTAGTTCAGGCTGGCCTTGATGGACTATGTTGCCCAAGCTGGCTTCAAACTCATGGTGATCCTCCTACCTCAGCTTCTCAAGTGATGGGATTACAGGAATGCAGCACCATACCTGGCAGGGAAGACATTGAGAAAAAAATATTTAAAAATTCTCTTGTAGATTCACTTAATTGGAGAGGCTTATAGAACATCTAGGAGTAGATTCTAACAAGAAATTAAAAATGAAAACTTGGAACTTGAGAGATAAGTACAGTCTGAAGTTATACATATACAAATTTTTGGGAGTAGTGTTATTTGTTAAACTAAAGGCTTTGAAAATGTATAATGGAAAGTAGGAGAGAAATTAGGCAGAAACAGAAAGGACTTATAACTCAGCAAAAGCTCTGGGGCTCTATGACTTACCTCTTCTTCAAAGTAGAGATCAGGTTACTATATATAGCTTTCATACCCATACAATTGAGACAGTGACATACTATTTAATGAGTTTCTCTTAGTTTTAGAGGCCATTCATAACATTTCATGCTTAGTTCCCACCCATTTAACAAGTAGTATTCAGAGGCTGTAAGTTTTGGTTGGGATCCAAGGCAAGAACCCTTTCTCCAGTTCATCCATGCTGCAGTGTAGACAATTCTAGCATGTGGTTCTTGGGACCCTGATTCGATCTCCGGTGCTCAGGGTCTCTGTACCTGAATCTGGGACCATTTGGAGCCTGAGGTAAAGCACAATAAGAAAATCAAATAAGATCTCTAGGGCAACTTGTTAAAATATCTATGTATTTTTTTTTTGACTAATGAAATAACTGTGTTTTTGTTTTTGCTTTACAGGGTGGTGGTGATTGTCCAGAAATGAGTATTGGAGCAATAAAAATTGCCTTGGAAATTTCTCTTCCTGGTTCTTTCATCTATGTCTTCACTGATGCACGGTCTAAGGATTACCGGCTTGCCCAGGAGGTACTGCAGCTTATCCAACAGAAGCAGTCTCAAGTGAGTAGGAGTGAATCAGCCCCACAGCTGTATCTGAATCCAGCCTGTAGGAGGTGGCCTAGCCTCTTTGACTACCTATGTGCACTCACTATCTATTTTAGAACTATCTGTCCACATTTCTGTATGCCAATATGTATGGCATTTAATGTAAACAAATATGTGTATGATATTTCTAGAGCACTATGAAAACCTTGTTTTAATATATATAATAGAGTTGAATAAAAATTAAATAATATGCTTCTTGCCATCTCTTCTTCATAACTAACAAAAGCATAGGTTTACCTCTTAAAAAGACCCATATTTCAATGTGTGCTCCTATGTGGAATCTTGCCCATGTCAGTTATTCATTTTGTAAGTTAGCTGTTGCTGCTTAGCAAACTCTTCTAACACTCAGTGGTTTAATACAACAAGGTTTATTGTATCTAATGTGTTAGCAGAGTTCAGTTAATCTAGGCTAGCTTTGCTTACTTGGGTATCTGGAAGTATTTCATTTTGGCTTTTCTAAACTGGTCTCTGAAGCTTATTGGCTTTACTTCATAGGTTTCTTACCCTCGTTCTAACACAAATAGGTTGGTTTAGTTTTGCCTTTCTCATGGGCATAGCAGAAACTATAGATCAAATGGAAATTCACAAGGCCTTCTTAGTTGAACCTCAGAATTTATAGAACTATTTTATCTCATTCTTTTGGCCAATGCAAGTCATATGGCCAAACTTAGATCCAAAGATGATAAAATAAACTATACCTCTTTATTGAGAGGAACTTCAAAATCCCCTGGCAAAGCAAATGGATAAAGAGAGGTGATAAATTGAGGCCATTGTGTAATATCGCACAGTCACTTTCACTTTCATAGTTTTGAGCCCACACTTCTGAAATATAAATAACTATGGTCCTGTATGGGTTCATTATTAAACAGCATGCAGTTAAAAATTACTATATATGAAGTGTGATTGAAAAATAGTGTGTTAAAATAAAAAATTGTTACACTAAAAGGCATGTTTTCATTAATCCCCTCAAAAAAAGTCCCCTTGCTTCAAACACACTTGCCACTTTCTGAAGAAATTCTGGAAGTCCTCTTTTACATCTTTAGTTGTGCTGTTGTGGCACACTGATGTCTTGAATTGATACAAAGCCTTTATCTTTCGTGGTCATTTTGACTTTAGGAAAGAGTCAGAAGTTTCACAGTGCCAGATCTAGGGAAAAAAGTGGATCAGAACACACTAATTTTTTTGTGAACCTGCCTTTCCATTGGATGGTACTTGGTAGCAACTTTCACTTTATTTTTGATCACACCTCATACAGACACTCACAAAAGAGGACTTCCATAACTTGTGTGTATATGGTATATATGTTAATGTACACACATACATACATATTCCACTTGTCTAGTAATATATTAACACATAATAGGTGCTCAATAAATATATGTTGATTTCTGGAAACCCGTTAAACTATCTTCTTATTAAAAAAATCACAGGTGGTGTTTGTACTCACTGGAGACTGTGATGACAGGAACCACATTGGATATAAAGTCTATGAAGAAATTGCCGCCACAAGTTCTGGTCAAGTGTTTCATCTGGACAAAAAACAAGTGAATGAGGTCAGTTCAATAAAGTGGGTCTACTTTGTTGCCAGCAACTTTACCAAGATCTGTGAGGCCACCTAATTGTGAAAGCTTGATTGCAAAAACAGTTTTAACCGACAGGTTTTACTCCTGGGCCACAAGCAGGTCAATAATAGCATCGAACTTATGTGGAAAAGAAGGTTCATCTAATATTAATTTTAGGTGCATTATGTTACAGCAATAAATTATTTAATTTTAGCATATATTTAAAAGTCATTCAGTTTGAATGAAAAAAGTTTTTTGTAGTTCTTGGTTTTATTTATTTACTTTTATGATACCAGGGATTACACCCAGGGTTTTCACACTGAGCTACATCCCCAGACTTTTCATGTTTTATTCTGAGACAAGGTCTCAGCCACACTGGGCTTCAACTTGCGCATCTCCAGCCTCAGTCTCTCAGAGTGCTGGGGTTATAGGCATGCACCAGCAGGCCTGGCTAGTTCCTGTTTAGTGAGGTCAGTTTGTTTTTCAGTTGAATAACTTTTGGATAAGAGATAAAATAAGGCCTGACTGGTTATGAAGTAAACTGTGAGAGTTAATTATTCACTTCTAAAATTAATTGTCAAAATAAAGTCTATATCTTGTAAGAAAATCTTGGTATTTTCTTTAAAAAATTTTGAGATAAGTCTAAGTGTTGTGTAATTCTTTTTTCTTTTTATTATTTTCCCTTGGTCTCATTCATTAGTATAACACTTTATTTGCTCATTTATTTATTTGTCCCCACTTGTTTCATCTTTAATTGCTGTATTCCCTGTGTTTATGCAAGACCTGTTGATTTCACAGTAGACTCCTTTGTGTCTTGAATGAAATAGTTCAGTAGTTCTCATAGTTTAAGTGTACTCATTACATGAAACTAATAGGACATTGGAAATTTCTAGAAGAAACAATTTAATAAAAATATTTTCAAATAACATATTGAGATATATAAACCTTAAATTTACTTTAATCTAAGAGAAGTTTTCTTGGGAGAAACAGGTTTTGACAGGATTACGGCTTAGTCCTCATTGTGTCCACTTTAGTGACTCAGAAGTGCCTGAGCAGGATCTAAAGATTGTTAGAGGATTGCTTAGCAGCTAATTTACATGAATATTTGAAAGAGAATTTGGAAAACTGGCAAGGGATTGAGAAAGAATGACGATTCTAGGGAACTAGGTTTCCGTAAACTGTGCTTGAATTTAAAAATGGAAAAGTTGCTGGTAGAGGTTGTTTCTAAATTGGAATTCTGTAAGACCCTAGGGTATATTCAGGAATACCAACACAAAGTAGAACAAAAATGAGGAATAGCATCATTTTCTCTTGCATCAGCAAGTACACCACCAGCTTAGAGTTTGGTAAGGTTCTGGATGGAAATGGCAGTGATGTTCACTGGAGAAAGGTGAGGTATTGGAACCAGCAGAGCATGTCATGCTCAGTGGATATGGTGCCTCACTGCAGAATGTATTAGAGAAGAGATGAGAAAACCCATGGCCAGCACCTAGTGCTTTTGAATGTTTCTTGGACCTGTTCATGAGCAGACAACTTAGAGATTCTGAGAACAAGTTGGGTGACATTGTGAGAACCATAGGACTTTATTAGTAGTTGTTCCCTGAAGCCAGAAAAAAAAACACAACGTATGTGTTGTGTGATTGTGACTCCAGCTAAATACACGCATGCAGGGAATATTGTGTTATATAAAATTATAAATGTTGTCATCTTAAACAGAGAAAATAAGCCTTTTATAAGTTACATACCTTATTAGATAAGTGGCATGATGTATGATTTTTATAATCTTAATATATTCTCACAAATCTGAGTAATAATATACAAAAATTTGCTATAAGTTGCAGAAAACCTTGTAGATGTAGGCACCCCACTGGTTTGCTAATAGTGTTTCTCTCCCATGTCATCAACATATCTGCTCTGTAAATATAACTTTGGCAGAATAGGACTAGAGAAAACCATCATTAAAATGGGGCATTTTTATAAAATGAAGTTTGATGTTACAGGGCTGAACTGTGGTTTATCTGTCAATCATGACACTTCCAAACCCCTCACAATGAGTGCAGGGAAAGATATTTTACTTACATTTGCCAGTGAGACTCAGGCCAAATTAGCTAGCAGTGTCTTGAAAGAATTATTTTTCTAGACAATGCCCTGCTGTAAATCCCTGACCTGATGCTGGCCTTCTTTATACAACTCCAAGGACAAAACAAGTGGAAAGGAGAATGAAGAGCTAAGAAAATCCAGTTTGGATGAAATCAACCCTCAAACCCATCCTAATGCTAAGCCTGTAGAGTTAAGGAAGTGATGTTTTTCACTCAGGTCAATTAAAATTGAATATTCAGTTACCTAAAGATAAATAAATCTAAATGATAAAAAGTCCTTTATTTCTTTGTGACATGTGCTCTGTGAGCTCTGTTTTCTTGTTAGTGGAGATAATAGAATTTCCATTGCAGAAAGTGACTATAAAATTAAATGAGATAGGATTTTCTACACAAGGTCTGGCTTAGGGTAAGTGCCCAATATATATTAATTAGTATCATCAGAGCCTTGGTTGCATTGCTACTTTGATTTTAAAGTGGGGGAATTGTGACACCATATTTGTTAGAAACCTGATGGCTAGATGCTGCTGGGAAATAAATCTGAATAGAAGAATCCAGGAAAAATTGGGTAGTTCTCTTTTCCCTATTCATGAAAAAAGATCCTGTAAATGCTTACTGGGACTGTGTAAGTCAATATGTTCCTTAAAGAAAGCCACCATCATGGACAGTTTTGTTAACAGGAAGCATTGTGACAGTGTTAAAAATAGATTTGAAAAATCTTTGGTATATAATTTAGTTATTTCTCTTTTCTCACTGTCCTAAACCCTTTTATTATATAAATACTAAAAATTCTAAGGAAAATAGATCTTCTAATGATAGGTACACATTTAATAGACACAAGAACTACAGGAAAGTCATACATGCACTGAGTCCTTACAGTTTTCATAAGAGAAAATTTTCATGTATTCTTTCTTTATTTTTAAATACATCTTTTAAAAATGCATCTTTCACGTGTTATTTCTTTTCATGTATTCAGGAAAGTATATTTTGTTTTACCTTCTTGACCTTGTTCATCAATTTCCTAACCTACTAGGGTATATTTTGTATTAACTTTCATAGCTACCTTGAATTTTTTTTTTGCTTTTTTTTTTAAACAAGGATTGAGGAAAAGATCTAGGTACCTCTTTCATCTTTCTTCAACATAAAAAGAAAAATCAAAGTGAAGAAATTATTTGGCTGAATATCAGTGGACTGTAAATCACTGTATGACATTGCATTTTGGAAGCACAAGTTAAAACATGTCTCAAGGATGTATTTAAAATATCTTTGACAACAGAATAAGAACCAAACCAGTACTACTTCTGCATTTATTTGTAAGCTGAATGACTATCAGTTGATATTATTATTGGTTCCTTTGGTATAAAAGGAAAAAGTCTAAATTGGAAACCTCAAAGGTAGAGATACAATATATCCTTGTCAGTGAAGTGAACACTAAAAGATTTCAGTATTCTTTAGATAGCTCACTTGTCACGAGTCCTCCAGCTCGTCTAACTCGTATCCTCTTAACACCTTCATCTCCCTGCAAAATCTACCACTGCACATCCCAGCCTGATGGGTTTGTCCCATTTCAATAAATGTCCGCCAACATTCAGTAGAGGTTATTTATTGCAGAGTCAAAAAAAGTATTAGTAATCATCTCAGCGGAAAAGAAATAGCTATCTTTGGGGCAAAAGAACTTTTAATCAGTGACGATTTACTAAAGTTAGGACTAAGGGCAGCTCACAGGGGATGGTGAAGCAACATGAATCTACCCACAATACTGCTGACCTATATTCCCCCCAGTCTGAGGGGAAGAGGAGAGAGCTTGTACTGTTAACATATGGTGAGATCCAGGCTGAGGGCTCATCACAGACTGTGGCCTGGAACAGACAACTGAAACCCTGCAGGGATGGAGTCAGGGGAGCAGTCAACCAGCCCCTTCTCCCTGGCCTTTAGTTTCCCCAAATCTAATTGAAAGCCAGAAGACCAAGGGGCCCTGCCGAGGCAGTCCATGAACATCAGCATTCAGGGGACAGAGCAAGCAAAATGGAAAAGGACAGACTGTGCGTCTGGAGATGCAGAGCTAAACTTTAGCACAAACATTGTGTAGTAGTTAAGACTGCAGGCTCTGGAACTGCTCATGTCCCAGAAATGTGACCTTAGACAAATTATATAATTTTCCTTTGTCTTAGTTTCCTTATCTGTAAAATGGGAGAATGATAGTACCTACCTGTCAGGGTTGGGTTTAGGGGATATCAATAAATATTAACTGCTATCATTTTTATTTAGTGATATATTCTAGGCAAAATAGTCTATTAACCTTTTTGTTTAGAATATTCCGTAAAACAAAGAAACATCTATTAAATTCCACCTGTGGAGAGGTGGCCAAAAGCAGCATGGCATGCCCTAAGAGGGAACTCTGAGGCTTTACAGTCAGCAAGACCAGGATTTGAATGACTCCTCTGCCTTCGGCTATTTGAACAGCTCTGTGAAACAGCTTTGCAACTTCTCTGAGACTCCATTTTTTGATGTGAACATGGCATATTAATTACCTCACACTATTACTATGAAGACGGAAGAGCATGAGAAATACTTAGAATAAACAGAATAGATTGTTAGGAAAATGGTAATTACCTCTTTGGAAGTTCTTAAGGGTGAATTTCTCCATTGTCAAAGAGGGCATTTTTGCTTTTGAGGGATTGTAGGCTAGGCAGGGGGCCGGGGAGAGTACTGTAGAGTCCTCAGGACAGAGGTGTTTTTGAGAGCTCCTCTTCTACAGATCAATATGGGTGTGGGAGAGTGGGATGGAGTCAGAGCTATTAGGAATATTATAAGAACCTTGAAGTTTTACAATTACCCTGTCATTTTTCTTATTTTTCGTTGTCTTTTAAAAAAGTTTATTGCTGTGATTTGAAA